AGTGGTTGTTTTAGGAATTACCGCATACATTTTTAGTTTACCACAATCCAGTTTCTCATCCATTCTCCTGATGATGGACATTTGGGTTATTTCTACTTTTTGGCAATTGTGAATAAAACTGCTATGACCACGCTCGTACAAGTTTTTTTGAAGACATGTATTTCCATTTCTTTTGGATAAACATCTAGGGAAGGAATTCTGGGTTAAAGGGTAGGTTTAACTTTCTAGAAAACTGCCAAACCGCTTTTCCAGTGTGGTTGTATCATTTTACATCACCACAAGTGTGTGAAAGTCATAATTTCTCCATGTGCTCACAACACTGGCTGTTGTCAGATTATTTTATGTTAGCCTTTAGTGAACGTTTAGTGGTCCCTGTGGCTTGGGTTTGCATTTCCCGAAGGACTGACAGTATTGTGCGCTAGTTCACATCCATTTTGAGCATCTGTATCTTTGGGAAGTGCCTGTTCAAGTCTTCTGCCCACTGGGCTATTCGTCTTCCTATTGCTGAGCTGTAGGAGCTTTCTACATATTGTGGATAAAAGCCCTTTGTCAGATACGTGTTTTGTAATTTGCTCCCAGACCGTAGCTTACCGATTTGTGCTCTTTAGTGAAGTCTTTTAATGAGCAGAAGTTTTAAATTTGGATAAAATCTAATTTATCAAGCTTTTCTTTTATGCTTGTGACTTTCTGCATCCTGTCTAAGAAACCTTTGCCTACACCTCTGTGTTTTCTCTTGGAAATTTTATAGTTTTAGCTTTTATGTATAAGTCTGTGATCTAACTTGAAATCATTTTTTATACTGTGTGACGTAGGGATTGAGGTGTTTTTTAATTTTTCTTTCCATATAGATATACCATTTGTTTAAATAACTTTTCTTCCTCTGTTGAATTTTCTTGACACCTTTGTCAAAAATCAGCTGAGGAGGAAAAGAGCTGAGGCTTTATTGGGGAAAAAAATCGACTGACAATGTAAGTACGGGTTATATTGGTTGTATATTGATGGATTTGATTTATTAGTATTTCGTTATGCTATTTGCATGTGTGTTCATGAGAGATATCGGGATAAATACTTTTCTTGCAATATCACTATGAAGTTTTGGTATCAACGTTTTGCTGACCTCATAAAATGAGGCGTGAGGTGTTCCTTTCTCTTTTTCCTTATGGAATTTGTGTATTAATTTATTTTTCAGTGTTTGGTGGCATTCACCTGGGAAACTCTCTGTACCTGGAGCTTTCCTTGTAGGGAGGTTTTTGATAATATTCAATTTCTTTGTTAGATATGACATTCACATTTTCTGTTTCATGTTTTATCAATCTTAGTATGCTGTTTTTCAAAAAAGTGTTCATTCAATCCAAGTTGTTGAATTTATTGGCTAAATTTCCTTATTATCGTTTTGATTTCTGTAAGATTTGTAATGATATCTTGTTTCATTCCTGATATTGGAAAATTGTGGGGGTTTTTTCTTTTCTCTTTCTTATCAGTGTTTTTTTAAGGGGATGTCATTTTTTTTTCCCTAAGATTTTTCTTTTAAGAGCAGTTTTAGGTTCACAGCAAAGTTGAGTACAGAGATTTCCCATATCCCCCCTGCCCTCACACATGCACAGCCTCCCCCATTATCAGCATTACCACCAGAGTGGGACATTTGTTACAATTAATGAAACCTACACTGACATGTCGTTATCACACTAAGTCCATACTTTACATTAGGGTTCACTCTTAGTGTTGTACTTTCTGTGGGTTTGGACAAATGTATATTATCATACAGAGTATTTTCACGGCCCTAAAAATGCTCTATGTTCCACCTATTCATATCTCCTTCCCCCTAAACTGGAAACTACTGATCTTCTTACTGTCTCCATAGTTTTTTCTTTACCAGAATGTCATAGAGTTGGAATCATACAATATATATGAGTACATTTACTTTGACTTGGTAATATGCATTTATGTTTCCTCCATGTCTTTTCATGGCTTGATATAGTTCATTTCTTTATGGAAGAAATTTCAATTTTGAAGAAATTTTGGTTTTGTATATTTTCTCCATTGTTTATGGAGTTTTTTATTTCATTGTTTTTTCTTTATTATTTCCTTCTTTCTACTTAAGTTTAATTTACTCATCTTTTTATAGCTTCCTAAGGTTGAAAATATAAATGATTAATTTTTAAGCCTTTCTTTCTAATATAAGCTTATAAAGCTAAACATTTCCCTCTAGGCACTGCTTTAGATGCATCCCACGATTTTTGATACATGGTATTTCTAGGGACTAGAAAGTGTCAGCAGGGCCGTGATCCCTTTAGGGGCGGGTCCTTTCTGCCTTTTCCAGCTTCTGGTGGCTTCCAGCAGTCCTTGGCCTTCCTTGGCTTGTAGCTGCATCACTCCAGTCTCGCCTCTGTCTTCACGTGGCCTTCTTCCCTGTGTGTTCTTTCTGTCACTTATAAGAACACTGTCACTTGATTTAGGGTCCACCCTAATCCACTATGGTCTCATCTCAAACCTTACCTGATTACATCTGCAAAGACACTATTTCCAAATAAGGTCATATGAGATTCTGGGTGGACACAAATTTGGGGGGACACCATTCAACCCACTTCAGCTCCCCAAAGTGATCTCTCCCACTTTGTGCCCAGTCTCCTGTCTTAAGTTGTAAGGACTACACCTGGCTTCTAGGGTTCCAGGATTTGGTGAATCAATTGTATTTGTGACTTCATAAGCTTCAAGAACCAGCTGTTCTCATTTCACGCCAGCTTTTGGAATTCCATTTGTCTTAAAAATTAGCAGCTCCATCCTCCTAACAATTTGAGTCACCCCCAGTGGCCCCCTTCAGTCTTGTCATGTTGTTGAGAAGTGGCCCCGAGAACTATGCACTGGATTGAGGGCCTGTAGACCTCATGGTTTTGAATCCACACAGAGTAATTTTTCTACCCAACCTTCCAAAACCACATCACTTTATCAAACCCCAGATTGTATGAACTGAGCACCAGCAACTATGGCCTATGGGCCAAACCTGGCCTGTCGCCTGTGTTGATAAATAAAGTTTTATTAGAACACAGCCAAGATCATTTGTGTACATAAGCAAAGGCTGCTCTTGTGCCACAATGGCAAAGTCTAGTAGTTGCACCGGAGACTGGATGGCCAAAAATTCTCTGCTCCTGTACAGAAAAGGTTTGCTGACCCTGGTCTAAACAATACAAGCTAAACAGTATGATAAATGCAGACAGTGCATGGTAAATAGTGGGTTAAACCAGGGAACATGTTAGCTTGAAAACTCCGTGTGATATTGAATAACTTGCATCCTGAAAGGTGCAATCTGGCCACAGTAAGCTGAGCATGGGCTCAACGTTTGTCGCCAACACTCCACAGCTGTCTTTGCATCAATAAGACTTAGACTTTGGAGCAAAATTATTTCTGCCTGTGTAACAAGGAACTGGTCTCAGTGAAGTCAGCTTTCTCACTTTTTCACTAATGGATTCTTTTCACAAAAAGTTGTAGTCCACTTACTTCCTCCTAGTGTCACTGAAGTTACCCACTTCTTAGCTTCAGATGGGGGCAAAGTGTATAGTGTGCAAATGACTGATTTAAACATTAGAGAAAGCTGTAAATAAGAGACATCGATTAAGCAACTTCCAACAGAAAATTCCAAAAGTCAGTTCTGTCAGGATGGCAGAGAGACTTGGAGACCCAGGAAATACACAATTGGAAATTCACACGCTCTGAAAGAGGCAAAGGAAGTTGGAGGTGCCAGTCACCATGGGGCACTGGGGACATCTAGTGGTAAGACCTGAGTCAGGCATCAGAGGCATTTGGGAGGAGACGGGGGGGGGGGGGGGGGGGGGGGGGCAGTCATGAAATCGTCCCCTGAAGATGGGATTAAAGGAACACACTCAGGTTCAAATACACACAAACCTTTCTGCTTCCCTTAGGCAAATTATTTTAACCTGTTACCAGTTCTTCTTTGCATTTAAAAAAAAAGGCTTTTTAAAAAAGTTGTTCACTCATTCTTGCAGGTGGGAACCCTTGGGGCGATAGAGAAGCATATATAAAAGTTCCGGCACCATGCCCTGCGTAATGTGGCGTGTGCCTCAGGCTTCCCAGTGTGGCAGGAGCTGGGAGACTTCACTCGTGGAGTGATGTGCTCAGAGCTGGAGCCAGGACAGGACAGACAGGGAGGGTGTGGACCTGACCACAAAGCCGCCTCCTCTGCAGTCTGTGTGTTCCATTGCCTCTCAAATGCTTAAGGTAGCTGGTGGTTTACTTAAAGGGAAGACAGTTTGGCTTTCTGCATTTTCATAAAATGATTTTGTATCATCTGCCACCTTGTTCGAATATTAAGCGAGTCTTTTTGTAGAGAATTTTACAAGTACCTATTTGAAAGATCTATGCATCTGGCCACAAAGAAATACACTTTTGTGCTTTTTCATGGGTTAACATCTCTAGGAACAGAAGGTAGTTTTGACTTGCTGCTAAAATTCCTGAGGACTTTTTTCCAGCCCAGAAGAAAATGTTTCTTTACTCTCACTGTATATCACCTTTTTCTCCCTAGGCCAGCAGTTCTCAACTGGGGTGCGATTTTGCCCCCAGGGGACATTGGACAATCAATGTCTGAAGACATTTTTGGTCTGGTTGTCACAACTTGGGAGGGGGTGCTCCTGGCATCGAGCGGGTGGGGCCAGGGGTGCTGCTCAACGCCCTACTGTGCCCAGAACAGCCCTCCACCAGAGAAATGACCCAGCCCTGATGTCAGTAGTGCTGAGGGGCAGAAACCTGCTCTAGAACACTTTTGCCCAGCTCCCCCAAACAGCAGGCATCCATCAAGAGCTTTTGACTTGCCCGGTAAATGAGTAAACAGTTCTATGAGCCCTTGAAAATAGTTCAGCCTGATCAGCCTGGAACAGGCCATTGAGGAGTTCCTGCAGAGCTACTTTTTCGTTTTCTATTTGGAAGAAGAGCCCCCTCTCCCTTTCTTGGGAACAGTTGTGCAAACTGTTCCCCTCTTCCTTATCCAGTCTGGCCGGGTCCCTGCCTCTGAACCTTGAAGACTGTAGGGAATTTCCGCTCACCTCTCCTGCCCGTGTCTGAAGCTGCCTCTTTGAGCTTGGTGGCTGCAGCCCTGCCCGCTCGCCTTCTCTCCGCCTCTCTTCAGAACTGAGCATGCAGAGTTCAGAGGGTGGACCAGACTCGCCGGCTTCTGTGGCTCTGTGTTCGTCGGCAGCTGCACAGGCGCCCGTGGCCCAGCCAGTGCCAGCCTCCCCGCAGGTAACGGACCAGCCCCGGAAAACCAGTGCGGCCAATGTGGCCGCATCCACTGTGGTTTTGAACAACACTTGAATCAGCAGAGAGAGGAATCTGTGTGTTCCTGAATTGCCTTCTCAGGCCCAAGGCTGCAGCTGTTGAAATAGCTGCACCTTCTCTGTCTCCCCCATGTCACATTATTTGTCACTGTTTGTGTAAAAGCCCCTCCAACCCAAGCAATCAATGATCTGAAGTCAGGAAGAAAGCACTCCCCGAATCCCACATAGTCTGTTCTTATTTTTTAACGGACTTCTTTTCTGCCTTGGGAATGACCCTTTTACACAGGAAGACTTTATGGATAAGTCAAAAGATAGTGAGACTTTTTAGCATTTGGTTCAAACTTGAATCTAGCGTTAGAATAGGATATAGTCTTTAAAATTTGGGGAGAGACAATTTTCATATTGAGGCTCTCTCAAAATGAAAACAGTAACTCAAAAAGATATATGCACCCCTATGTTCATTGCAGCATTACTTACATGAGCCAAGATATAGAAACAAACTAGATGTCCATCAATAAATGATTGGATAAAAAAGCAGTACATATATATTACTCTGCCATAAGACAATGATATCATGCCATTTGTGACAACATGGATGGACCTAAAGGGCATTATGCTAAGTGCGATAAGTCAGAGACAAATACTGTATGATCTCACTTCTATATGGAATCTTAAGAAAAACAAGCTCATAGGTACAGAGAACAGATGGGTGGTTGTCAGAGCGGGGGTGGGGGTGAGTGAAATGGGTCTAGCCATGGCCACTCTGTCTCTCCCAGGTTCCCGGCTAGACAGAAATGCATCCAGAAGCCCCACCCCTACCAGCCTCGATGGCAATGTCCCCACCCCTCTTCACTCCCCCTCCCACCTGACAGGTGCACTGTCTGCTCCCCAAGACTAGCCTTCTCGCTGCCTCTCCAGGGAACTCCCTTTCCTTGAGCACTCTCGCCCCGGGCTTCCTGACCAGTTCCTTGCCAGAAGGAGGAATTCTTGCTGGCCTGGTTCCCACGCTGCACTGCCCTTGCTTCCCCTCTCAGCCCTGCACCGCCCAACAGAGCTTCCCACCACCGTGGGCATGTTCTGCCACCAGCCCTGCGCGGCCCTGTGCAGTGGAAATGTGGTCAGTGCGTCTGAGGAACTCAACTTCACAGGTCATTTAAATCAAATGAAATGTAAATGGCCACACAGCTACTCAGCAAGTAGCTACTGTACTGCACAGCTCAGTTTATGTAAATCCTTAATATTCTTATTTATTTATTTATTTATTTATTTATTTATTTATTTATTATTTGAAGTGAAATTCATATAACATAAAATTCACCATTTTAAAGCAAATAAATCAGTGGCATGATTCATACATTCCCAATGTTGTGCAATCTCCACCTCTGTCTAGTTCCAGGACATTTTCATCAGCCAAGAAAGAAACCCCATTCTCATTAGCAGGCATTCCCCCTCCCCCATCCCCTGACACCCATGAACCTACTTCCTGTCCCTGTGGACTTGCCTGTTCTGGACGTTTCACATAAATGGAATCACACGCTGTGTGGCCTTGTGTGTCTGGCTTCTCTCACTGAGCACCGTGTGTTCAAGGTCCGTCCACGTTGTAACGTGTGTCAGCGCCTCCCTCCTTTTCATGGCTGAGTAATATTCCAGTGTGTGGGTGGGCACGTTGTGTTATCCATCCATCCTATTGATTCTGTACCATCTATGTCCTTTTTTTTTTTGTCATGAGCTCATGGAGGGCCAGGTCTCTGTTGAATTCTTTTCATACAGTGATGTTTAGAGGGCAATGCACTGGAGAATCACCACAACCTGTGACATTTAGGGTCCATATCAGAAAACCACAGAATTAAAGTCAATGACTTCTAAAGCCCCAGCTTTCCAGAAACAAAACACTCCTACTTCTCTCTTGATCTGGGGTATATTTGATCCTTCATATTTTCATAGTTCTGTGTGTCCAGTTAGTACTCTGAGCACAAAGACAAAGCCACACTGTGAAGACTAGGCTCAGAAGCTCAGAGAGCCGTGAAGTCCAGGAGGGGGGCCTGCAGGCAGGAAACCTGGACTGAGTCTTGGTTCTAGAATTTACTATGTTGAGGCCCCAAGACATTGCTTGAGCACCCTGGGCTTCATTTTTTTCCCATGTATTAAATGCGGATAAGTCCAGTGTGTACTGTGCTACCTAGCACTCTTCTAGTGTGAGGTGGTGTGGACGGCTGTCCAGAGGGTTCCTCATCACCCAGCTCTTGGCTCAGTGCCAGGGACAGCCCGAGTCACCTCGCTGACTGCAGAACCCAAGGAGACAAAGCTGCTGGGGATGGGTGGAGGTGCATGTGCTCCCGTGTGTTTGCCTGTGTGCCTGTGTGCGTGTGTACATACACATACGCACATACCTGCCCGCCCGCGTGCATCTGCTGTGTCTGAGTCAGCCTGAGTATGATGTGTACACCCTTCCCTCCTTTCCTATCAGTCCCACGTATATTTTCATAAAGCAGCAGTAGACCAGGCAGCAGTAGCTCAGGTTGTAATCTGTGTTTGCTTCCGGGCCTAACCTCTGACAAGTCTGAATGTCCTTCTCTCCTTCCCTTTTAGAGGGTGCTGGTCCAGGCAGCGGGCTCGGCTCCTAAAGGGGCCCAGATGCAGCCAGTCTCACTCCCCAGAGTCCAGCAGGTGCCGCAGCAGGTAACCACAGCACAGGTGACATGGGACACGTTAGCACGTAGCAATCTGGAGCCCTCTCTGAACTATGCATTCTTTTCTGTCATTGCTGTTCCTTTTTCTTTGATGTCCTCAGTTCCTTACCAGAAGTTTCTTTGGAAGCTATGTTTAAAAAAGTCTTTTACTGCAGACAGTTTTGCAGAACGCCAAGATAGCTGATGGTCTTTCATTCATTCAGAAGTTCAGGTTTGGGGCACAAGCCAGCCCCTCGATACAGCGCTGGGTGCTGAGGTAGACAGGCAGACAGAAAGCGAAGGTTCTGGACTGGAGAAACACGGAACCTCCTGGGGAGGCCAACCTCTCTGCAGGGCAGGTGTTGTGCCTGCAGATGACTGTGATGACCGAGGAAGCACCTCTTGGGAAATTAAATTACCTGGGAACAAAGCTTGAAAGTGTGGGCTCACTGCCAAACAGCAGCACAGACCACCAGCTCAGTCAGTGGGATCTAGGACAGTGGCTGGCAAACCTTTTCTGGAAAAGGCCAAATGGTGCATTTTTGTGACTTTGCAGGCCAGACACACTCTGGCACAGCCGCTCAACCCTGCCTTATGTCCAAAAGCAGCCATAGATGTAAAAGAAGGGGCATGGCTGTGTGCCAATAAAACTTTATTTACAAAAATGGGCAGGCCAGATCTGGCCCACAGGCCGGAGTTTGCTGACTCATGCTCTGTAAGGTGCTGAATTTAAATTAAAATAGTTCAGACTCCCGCCTGAAGGGGACCATGAGCAAAATGTGGAGATGGCTGAGACCTCAGAGAACATGACTCTCTATTCAAGGGATTCTGCTCAGATGAGTAACATGTTTAGAGGGATTTGTCTGGTAGCTGTGTCAGTGAGAAATGGAGGAGGCTTGCGGGGTTCTAGAGGACAAGCAAAGGTTCTGAGCAGGCCCTGAAGGGATCCATTGGCTGTCTTAGCTCCTCAAGGGAGGTAGGGCCAAGACCAATGTCATGATTCCAAAGTGTCCCCTCCTGGGTGGGGCTGAGCCCGCCCCACCTCTTTCTCTATGAGTAACTCGGACTTGTGGGGTGACTAGTGCATTTTACCTGGTTCCCTAAGGCAAAGCCCACTCGGCTCAATAACCCCTGAACGCCTCACAGTATGCTTGAGCATCTGCACATGTACACTGTGTTGGGTTGTGCTCAGAGGCGGGACTCAGCTCCACACAAAGCCCTACAGAAGGGGTCATGATGGGACCCTGCCCTCGATTTTGTCACCCAAAATGAGGTGGGATTAAGCATTGGTTAAGGTTCTCTCTGTGGTGAGACTCTGAGATTCTAGGCCTCCCCACCTAGCCCAGCGTCCCACAGGGGCCATCAGTTGAGGTGCTGAACTGATGGGGACCAGGCAGGGCTATGCTGGGGTCCTTCCTTCACCACCGTCCCCCCCGCCCCCCCCCATCTCCCACTCCAGGCCCATCACTCCTTCCAGTTCTGCTCAGACCTTCACAGTCTCTCCCTAGTGTGGCTCCTAGGACCCCCACCCCTCTGCCAGGGAGGGGCACCAGGGCCACCCAAAGGGAGCATCATGGGACCGTGTAGTGTAATCAGCTTGAGCCCTCTGCCCTTCCCTTGAGTGGAGGGGGGACAGGTCCAACACTCAGAGGTGGGCATTCTGTCCATAACTCTGGCCCCTGCTGTCCAGCAGGACCGGCCTTCTGCCCAGTGACTGGCGGGCCACAGGGACCTTCCCAGCTTTGCTCCGGCTATTGGCCGGGCCCTCCCCCCACAGAACAGGCGTCACTGACCTCACTTCCCTGTACACTGCCACCTCCTGCGTGGCCTGCCCAGGACTGTCTTTCCTAGTTTCTTTCTAGAATTGCCAACTGTGGGCAGGAAAACTGTAATGTGGTATTCACTGTTTATAAAAGGCAATAGAAGTTACTTTCAGCTTGAATAATGTCAAATCACAAACAGGAAGCCCACTGTGCATAACTGAAAATGTCTGATGTTTCAGGTCCAGTCCGTGCAGCACGTGTACCCTCAAGTGCAGTACGTGGAGGGTGGAGACACTGTCTACACGAATGGAGCCTTGTAAGTGGTTTCCTCTCCCCTTGGAAGGGTCTTCCCAGAGAACCTTAGGCCACGTCCAGAACCTTCCTTCACAGCTCTCCCACCTTTGTTCATTTGGGGATTATTTGCACAAATTTCTCTCCCTTATCTCTTGGGTGATATGTTGTAACCATTACAGCAGTATTACAACAGCACAGCCCTGTAGAGATTTCAGAAATCACAGACCTTCGTAGTGTTTACTTCTAAACAAACAAACAAACAAAAACCCCTAATCCAACTTCTAAGTCTGAAGATTCAGCCTTCACAATCCAGAAACCATTTCATCTCTGCTTTCTCATCCTGGCCTTTGTTAACCTGTAGCTTTTTATGATGTTGATACAACTTGATTTTCCGTTTGTCTGTCAGGGACTAGGGTTTTCTGCTTGCAAACTATGTGATGCTTGGGACAGGAAATGGTACATTTCCCGGGAAGCTCATTATGCTCGAGACACACAAGTTATTTTCCTCATTTGATTTCAACAACTCCCCTTCAAAAGTTCAGGAATGGAGAGTGAGGGTGTGGCTGTACTTATCGAGTTGTGTGAGCTTCTACAGCCTAGCACTGAAGGTTCCGATGCATACACAGGCCCAAATGAGCGCATGTAGAACCCGTGACATCTGAGCGAGGTGTGTAGGTTGTACCAGTGTCAATTTCCTGGGTTTGACTGTACTGTAGTCATATAGGATGTCACCTGGGGGATAGGACTAGAGTGCATGCCTCCCTGACATTGGGGCTGCCCTGCCACCCAGAGGAGCCTTCCCTCAGGACATGTCCTTATCCTTTAGGCATCACCAAGGAAAAACCGTTACCAACTGCCTTTTACTATGGCGGGCGTTATTTGAGTGGAACTTAAAATTTTAAGTGTCAGTATACATGGTTATCATTTGATCCAGATGTTAAAGGCATATTAGACAAATTATTGGTATTATTTAGAAATTCTTATTGTTATGCAATTTCATTTTCTTAAACTTTTTGTTTTGAAAGAATCGTAGACTTCCAGGAAGTTAGTAGAGGTTAGTAAAAATTAGTACAAGAGTCCCATGTACCATTCATCTAGCCTCCCCAGTGCTGACGTCCTCTACCGCTGTAGGGCAATACCAGGAAAGTGACACTGGGACAGTACTGTTGACTAGACTGTGGACCTTATTCAGTTTCACCAGTCTTTCATTTTTGTTTTTGTTTTTTAAGATTTTTCTTCGGGGAATTGGGAGATGGGAACAGCGCTGGGGAATTGGGGGAAGGGGAACAGACAAGTTGCTGTCCTTTGGTTCTTCAGTCTAGTTGTGGAGGACGTTGTTTCACTGGCTCAGGTTGGCACCATCATTGCGCTCTTCCTGGGCGAGGCAGATCAGTCACCGGCTTCTGGAGAGCCGCTCACTGCAGCTGCTGGCCACTCATGCTGGCTGCTGGCTGCTGGCTACACACGGTAGCCCATGGCAACCCACCGCAGCAGGGGCTGCAGCCTATGCCATCACCGGCGACTCACAGCAGCCCAGCTCAGCTCCAGGTTGAGCTGTTGTTCAGCATCTTAGCTGTAGAGGGCAGTGTCACTGGCCCTCATATGTGGGATCTGAACCGGGGCCCTCTGGCGTCCCAAGCCAGTTCTTTACCAATGCGCCACTCGGCCGGCCCTCACCAGTCTTTATTCATCTGTGCGCTCGCATGCATAATTCTATGCAGTTTAATCCCATGTCTAGATTTCGCATAACCACAATAAAATACAGAATTGTTCCATCTCCACAAAGGAGCCTCCTCATAAGACCCCTTTATACACTTAGAATTTTTAAATGATCAGTTTTCGATGAGTCAGCCTGTGGTCCTGAATATTTTCATAGGCGATCATCTTGAACCTTGCGCTGCATGGGCATTTCATGTCTAACTTACCCCATATACTCAGTTTCGTGGGGCTCCCGCTTTTCCGTGAAGTTGTGCTGATTCCTTCGAGACTCAAAGGAGGTACCTTCTCTGTTTCTGACAGGCGGGCGGCCTATGCCTACAACCCTGAGCCTCCGATGTATGCCCCGAGCAGCGCAGCATCTTACTTCGAGGCCCCAGGCGGTGCCCAGGTGACCGTGGCAGGCTCCTCCCCGCCCGTGGTCCCTTCCCACAGCATGGTGGGCATCACCATGGATGTTGGGGGGAGCTCCATCGTCTCCAGTGCAGGAGCCTATCTCATCCACGGGGGGATGGACAGCACCAGACACACCCTGGCCCACACTTCCCGGTCGTCGCCAGCTACGGTAGGTACTAGGTTCCCGGGGGCAGCATGTTAGACCCTGACTAGCCTGAGCAGCAGCAGAGGGACGGTGAGTAGAAGGCAGCCAGGAGCACTGGAGCCCGGCCCTGCCAGCCTCCCCTGGGCAAGTCTTGGCTTTTTTGGACCTCAGTTCCTCCACGGGTGAAAAAGAGGGTAAATCCTCCATCACTGGCTATTGTGAACATTGTGTATGAGTAAAAAAAAAATACCTCCATACTGATAGAAGCTGCTGCTGTTGGTGTTGTCATGGTCACCATCATCATTATTATCAGTCTTTTAGAGGCTTAGGTCAGTCTATCCATATGAAAACGGTACTGAATAAACAAGGGAAATTTCCCTTAAGAGCTATACCGAATTGTTACCACATGCTCCCATCCAGAATGGTTCCTTACCTGCTTTAAAAACTTAACTTTCAAAACTCTAGTTTCCATGTTTACGTTCTTTTTAAATTAATACAGAATAAAGTTGACTTTTTGGAGTGTACAGCCCTGAGTTTGGGCACACGTGCGGATTCTGGTAACCACTGCCGCGGTCCGGATCCAGATGGTCGCCTTGCCCCAAACTTTTTTGCCATCACGACCTGTCCTCACCCACAATCCCTGGCAACTGCTGATCCTTTCCCCATCACTATAGTTCTGTCTTTCCAGAACTGTTATATAAGCGGAATCATACAGTGGTGGCCTTAGACCGGCTTCTTTCAGTGTGGCACCTTTGAGACCCACTCAAGTTGTAGCATGAGCCGGCACTTCCTTCAGCTCTGTGACAGATCACACTGCAGCCTGCCTACCCATTCACCAGTCCAGGGCCATTGGGGCGGTTTGCAGTTTGGGGCGATTATGAGTAAAGCAGCTAAAGTCCTCACGTCCAGATTCTTGTATGGACATACTTTTTTTTTTTTCTTTTGGGTAAATACCTACGAGCAGATTGCTGGCTCCTACGGTAAGTATGTGTTGAACTGTATTAGAAATCACCGACAGTTTCCCCAGTGGTCCTACCATGTGATGCCCCCCCCAGCGATGCATAGGAGTTCCTGTCGCTCCCCGTTGTCAGCACTCAGTGTTGTCAGCATTTTCCATTTTAGCCATTTCAGTAGGTGTGTAAGTGGTATCTCATTGTGGTTACAATTTGCATTTTCTTAATCGCTAGTGATGGTAAGCAGCTTTTCATGTGCTTATTTGCCTTTTGTACATGCTCTTTGGTGACGTGTCAGTTCAAGTCATTTGCCTATTTTTCAACTGGGTTGCTTGTTTTCTTACTGTTGAATTTTGAGAATTCTTTATGTATTCTGGATACAAGTCCCCTGTCAGATATGTGATTTGCAAATATTTTCTCCCAGTCTTGATAATGGCTTTTCATTCTCTTAAAAGTGTCTTTTGCAGAGAAAAAAATTTTTTTTTAAATTTTGATCAAATCCAGTTTGTTAATCCTTCTTTTTTGACAAAATCATGCTTTGCATGTCATGCCTGAGAACTCTGCTTATCCCCAGGTCATGAAGATTTTCTCCTATGATTCCTGTGAAATGTTTTATAGTTTTACATTTTACATTTGGATCTACTTCATTTGAGTTAATTTTTGTATAAGATGCAAGGTTTAGGTCGAGGTTTATTTTTATGCATTTAAACTGCATCATTATGCATTGTTCCAGCATCATTTGTTACAAAGACTATCCTTCCACCATTGGATTGCTTCAGCACCTTTGTCAAAAATCAATTGGCCATGTGTGGGTCTATTTCAGGACATTCTGTTCTGTGCTATTGACCTATATGCCTGTCCCGTTGCCAGTATAGCTTTATAGTGAATGGTTCTTCCAACTTTATGCTTCTTCCATATTGTTGAAGCTGTTTATATAAATTTAGAATTTCCTATATAAGTTGTAGGTCAGTTTATCTATATCTACAAAAAAGTTCCTAGTAAAATTTTGATAAAATAGCATTGAACTTGTAGATCAATTTGGGGAAAACTGACTTGGGTCTTCCAATCCATGAACATGGTATGCTGTCCCCATTTCTTTAGGTCTTCTGTGATTTCTTTCATCAGCATTTTATAATTTTTTAGCATGTAGAGTCCATACATATTCTGTTAGATTTATACCTAAGTATCTCATGTTTTTGGAGCTATTGCAATTTGTATTGAGTTTTAATTTTTGTTTCTAACTGTTCATTGCAAGTATGTGAAAATACGGTTGATTTTTTGCTGTTGACCTTGCATTCTGCAACCTTGCGGAATTCACTTTTTAGTTCTAAGAGTTTTTTGTTGTCTGCAATTAGGAACAATTTTATTTCTTCCTTTGCAATCTGGGTGACTTTTATTTCTCTTTCTTGCACTGGTGGGACCTCCTATACTTTGTTGAATAGGAGTGGTGAATGCGGACATCCTTGTTCCCAGTCTTAGAGGAAAATGTTTCAGTCTTCCACTGCTAAGTATGATGTTAGCTCTAGGTTTTCATAATGCCCTTTTTCCAGTTGAGGAAGTTCCTTCTAGTCCTAGTTTTCTGAGAGTCTTTATCATTTGAATGTTGAGTTTTGTCAAATGCTTCTTCTTCATTGATATGATCGTGAATTTTTTCTTCTTAGACTGTTAATATGATGGATTAATTGATTGGTTTTCAGTTACAAAAGAACTTCCTCTTTTGGTGTGGGGTTAATCTCCTGAAATAGAAGGTGATGTTGTAGTCTCATCCCTGTTCGTTTTGGTGTGTTTTGGCATCACCCCACTATCAGAGAGGTCCCAGAGTCTTTCTATTCTCTCTCTTTCTGTGTCCAGAGTACTCAGTCCCTAGCAGCTGCCTCCTGGAGAGAAATCACTTGGTTTCTAGAGGCTGCGATGTGTGGGGCAGTGCCTGCTGCTGGATCAAGGTGCCACAGAGACCATACACGCTTCTTCCTCAGAGAACTGGCTGGGTGGACCTAAGTTTGGCACTGTTATTTGATCAGAAAGTGTTTTTCACAGACTATATTAATTTTTATGAATGTGACAGGTTTGATGCTAGCAAACTGCATCAATTTATACTAGTAGAAAATACTAGGATCACGGGTAACAAGTTTACTGACAAACAGCAGTGTTCTCTCCAGTCTACACTGTCTTTGTCGGAGGCAAATGTGCAGCTCAGACCCCAGGCCACCCGGCTACTGTGGTTTGTCGTCTGGGTTGCTTCTGAAGAATCAAGTGTTTGAATCAGTTGGAAATCCACTATTGGGATGCGTTTTTTCTCACACACACACACACACACACACACACACACACACACACACGCATGCACACACACACACATGCCCGTCTATGAAAACCCCTGGGGAGTGATCATCTCAGATGAGAATCTGATCCCTGACTCCATCTGCTCTGTTGTTGTTTATCGTCTTGTTTTCGGCGTGGGAACATCTCACAAGGATGAAGCAGAGATCCAAGGGACTTTCCGGGAGCCAAGAACAGAAATGGTCTGGAGGCTGCAACAGAAATAAAATATGGCTCCTGGATCCAACATTTGACATCTGCCAATTCTTTTATGTCAGAGTTTTGGGACTTGAAGTGAATCCTGAAAAGGGAGCATGAAGACCAGTGCAAATCATCACCTACAGCCTCAATGAGTGATTTCAGACTTGGTGACAGGTTTTCTTGAGTCTTTATTTGTGGTTAAATTTTCATGACTATTCTAAATCTCAGAAGTGAATTGCCCAAATGGTGAGTTTTTTATAAAAACTTTCTCTGTTACACTTTTTTTTGGACTACATGGAGCAGAGATACTAAACTAAGACGTTTCCTCTTGTCATTTCAGCCCAGGCTGAACCTCCTTGACACAACCCAGAGGGCAAAGTGCCCAGGGTGCCATATTTAAAGGACCGACCCTGCCCTGGCACAACCTTGAGCAGAGCATCTCCTTAACTGCCCTGCGTGCCTCTTTTGCCCCACCCCAGTCCTGGCCCAGAACGGACTCTTATGTGCCTTTGACCTAATCAGATTTTGGTATAGCAAACACATATAATATTACTTACATAATTTAAAAATGTTTAATTAGCAAAATAAAAATGGGCAAACATTAAAAATGCCCCATTTACTCAAGCCAGCCTCCTCCTCTCTCCAGCAGTGAGCCCACAGTTCTTCCCATCTTCCTGCCCGGCCCTTTCTCCAGGCGTAATTCTATGATTTATATCCCTGTCCTCAGAATTCCAGATGTGTTGCTTTCCTTCTTTTAAAATACTCTCCATTTTCTTTAAAGAGCCAAAAGGGTTACTCATACAACACTTAAACTTTTATTTCCTTGTTCTGTGGTCACATAACTAAGCTGTGTTTTAGGACAGAGGGTTAGCTATAGAAGCTTCTGTCCTTGTCCCCACTTCTCCCCCTACTTTCCTGCCCGTCTCGAGGAAAAGCTCCTGTACTAATGAGCTGTGAGCAGAACTAGCCACTTTTTTCTTGAAATGCCATTCTCGCTTTAAAGAATAACAGACAAATTATTATTATTCAGACTTTGAAACGTGGCAGGCATTTTCTCAAAAATGAATGGATGAGCCTGGTGTATCCAGGAAAACAACTGACAGATTTTGTTGCCAGTATATTTTCAACCAAAAAAAAGGAGAATTTTACAAAACTGGGATCTTTCCAATGAGGTTGGTAGTGATATTAACAAATGTGATTTTTCAATACTGTGTAATGAAATGTGGCAACATGTGGAAGATCTGCAAACTCAGTGCATTACTATCTTCCAAGTGACCAGCACATGATGTTAAAACCACACATGTGAGTTAAAGATCCATTCAGATTGTGAGAGATACTAATGGATTTTTTAGTTATATATTTTTTATTGAAGTAAAATTCACAAAACATAAAATTCACCATTTTAAGCATTTAAAAGTGTACAATTCAATGGCATCAAGTACATCCACAATGTTGTACAGCCATTACCCTATTTAACATTTTCCTATCTTCCAGAACATTTTCATTACCCCAAAAAGAAACCCTGTACTAGTTAGCAGACACCCCTCATTCTCTCCTCCCCCAGCCTCTGGCAACAGTGAACCCACTTCCTGTCTCTGTGGATGTGCCTGTTATGGACATTTCACATAAATGGAATCACACACTGTGTGGCCTTGTGTGTCTGGCTTCTCTCACTGAGCATGTTTCCAAGGTCCGTCACATTGTAGCGACTGTCAGTGCTTCACTCCTTTTTGTGGATGAACAATATTCCATTGTGTGGGTGAACCATGCTGTGTTTATCCGTTCGTCTGTGATTGATATTTGGGTTTTCCCCTTTATTTGCCATTATGAATAATGCTACTATGAACATGTGTGGATGAATTTTGTTTGAACACCTATATTCAGTTATCTTGGGTATATACCTAAGAGCAGGATTGCTGAGTCATATGGTTTAACTGGGTTTATATTTAACTTTTTGAGGAACGGCTAGACTCTGTTTCACAGCAGCTGAATCATTTTACATTCCACCAACAATGTATGAGGGTTGCAATTTCTCCACATCCTGGCCAACACTTGTTATTTTCTTTCTTTCTTTTTTTTTTCTTTTACAGCCATACTCATAGGTTTCAAATGGTATCTCATTGTGGTTTTAGTTTCTATTTCCCTAATGACTATGATGTTTAACATCTTTTCATGTGCTTATTGGAGACATGCCTATTTAAGCCCTTTGCCCTGTTTTTAATTGAGTCATTTGTCTTTTTGTTGTCGAGTTGTGAGAGTTATTTGTATATTCTGGATACAAGACCTTTATCAGATATATTATTTACAAATATGTTCTACCATTCTGTGGGAACATTTTCACTCTCTTGATAATGTCCTTTGAAGTTTTTAATTTTGGTAAAGTCCAATTTATCTTAATTTTTTTCTTTTGTTATGTTATTTGTACTTTTGGGCCATATCCGTTGCCAAGTCTAAGGTCATGAAGACAACCTTGTTTTACATGATTACCTCTTGTTTTCCTCTAGAAACTTTATAGTTTTAGCTCTTACATTTAGTTCTTTGATCCATTTTGAGTTGATCTTTGTATATGGTGTGAGGTAAGGGTCCAGCTTTATTCTTTTACATGTGGCTGTCCAGTTATCCCAGCACTATTCGTTGAAAAGTTTACTTTTTCTCAGTTGAATGGTCTTGACACGCTTGTCAAAAATCAATTGACCATGGGCTGGCTGAGTGGCTCAGTTGGTTAAGAGCTCGCTCAAGAGTGCGAGCTCTGAGCAACAGTAGTTCGATGCCCGGCCTGAGCTGAGCTGTCGTTGAGCTGCCAACTGGTGGCAGGATGGCTCAGCTAAGAAAAAAAAGTGGAAAAAAAAATCAATTGACCATAAGATGGGTGGGGTTATTTGTAGCCTCTGAATTCATTGATGTACATGTCTGTTCTTATCCCAGTACTGCACCGTTTCGGTTACTATAACTTGGTAGTAAGTTTTGAAATCAGGAAGGGTGAGTTTTCAACTTTGTTCTTCTTTTTCAAGATTGTTTTGGCTATCAGGGTCCCTTGCAATGCCATATGAGCTTTAGGATCAACTTGTTCATTTCTAAAACAGCAGTTGGAAGTTCAATAGAGAATTTTGATAGGGATTGCATTGAATCTATAGATCAATTTGGAGAGTATTGCCATGTTAACAATATTAAGTCTTCCAATCCATGAACATGGGATGTCTTTCTGTGTATTTAGGTCGTCTTTAGTTTCTTTCAACAATGTTTTATAGTTTTCCGTGTACAAGTATTTCACCTCCTTGTTTAAATTTATTCCTAGGTATTTAATTCTCTTTAATGCTGTTGTCAGTGGGGTTGTTTTCTTAATTTCCTTTTCACATTGTTCATTGCTTAGAAATGTAACTTATTTTTGTATGTTGATCTTGTACCCTGCAACTTTTGTGAATTCATTTATAAGCTCTAATTGGTTTTTTGTTGATCTTCAATATTTTCTATATTTAAGATCATGTCATCTGCACAGAGAGGCATTTACTTCTTCCTTTCCCGTTTGGGTACCTTTTATTTGTTATTATTGCCTAATTGCCCAGCCAGAACTTCCAGTACAATGTTGAAGAGCAGTGGCGAGAGTAGACATATACCAGTGGTCAGAAGGATGATGGGTGAACCAGGAACCCTCTCGTGTCTGAATTCAGCTCCAGGAAGCCAGTCCAGCTGTGCTTTCTGGAATGCATGTTCAGCCTACTTTCTGCAGACACGTCACTGAAGTCTTTGTGTGTTTGAGGACAAACAGCATATACTTTAGGTTCATTTCCTTCCATTGCAGTGCTCCGTCATGGTAGCACGCAGCAGAGTTTAAATTCCCATTTTCTATGTACATGTCAAGGTCAAAGTCAGCACGTACAAATGTGATGCTAGCCACACACAATTGGGTGTTTGTTCCTTTGCGTAGACCTGTGGCACCACCTCAGCTCCCCACCTCCCTGAGGTCCTTAAAACTCAACTCAGAAGCAACTTCCCCCAGGAAGCCCTCCCTGATAGGCCTGCCACATGACTTTCCTCTATGATTACATTATCATTTCTGTATAATGCTCTTTGCACAGCTCTCGCTTCATAAGCATTCAGGAGCTTATCTCTGTGACATGTTCAGTGGCCCCAGGGTCTTAATACCTCTGATGGCAGGACCTGGGTCTTTGGCCTTGTTGGTGTATTCTCAAAGCATCTAGGGAAGATAGGCTGGCTGGGAAGTCAGTACCACCAACTGTCCATGGCATCTTTTGGTCGGCTGATTCTCCCTAGCAACAGATAATGGGTGTGGGGAGCAGCGGGCAACTATTCTGCTGGCTTTGCTTACGCTTGAACTTATGCAGCTGCTAAGTGTTGATGTTATGCATGTGCGCATGCAGACATCATGTCCAACTCAACAGCCGGTGTTCACAGTCTAACTTCACCCCACTTCTTGGCTCTGGGCTCACCTGCATGTAGCTAATACCCCCGGCCGCAGCTTCAACCCCCCACTTAACCCACCCCCTGCCTGCTTCAAGCCTTGTTTTTATTTTGTAGTCGCTTGAATCATTATTTGGATATTAATAAAAACAAATCTTGGCTGATGCTAACCATCTGATTTCCTTTTTTTTTTTTTCATTTTGTTTTGTTTTGTTTCTGCACACATTTTCTTTAGCTTGAAATGGCGATTGAAAACCTCCAAAAAAGCGAAGGGATCACATCACACAAAAGCGGTTTACTCAACAGTCATGTAAGTGTGTGTTGGCCCGGTGGTCTGCCCTGCTGTGCGCGTACCTTCACAGGCATTTTAAAAACAAGCAAAGGCAATGAAATGACACTTCTGAAGTGCTGAAAGTGGGGGAGGAGCCAAGCCAGAGGTCTACATCCAGCAAAATGCCCTTCCACAGTGTAGGGGACATGAAGGTAGATAGATGATTATAGCACCTATCTCTTCAGGGCATGATACAGGGATGAGATTATTGACTATACATGACACTTCCAGCAATGCCTGACAAATCACAAGCATTATAAATAAAATTAATATCAAAACAAGCAACGATAACAAAAGATGACACAGAATTGGGGATGCCATAAAGATTCTTAGCTAAGTTTCCCGTGATCAGCATTTGGGGGCAGCGGGGAGGGGAAGGAGGTAATTTGAGAAGCAACTCATTCCTACTGATTTGGGCTGTGTGAGATCTCCCTTCTTCACTCTTTCCCCTCCTGGGGAAACCGTGATCATGGGTCCCTTGCCAGGAGGTGAAAAACATCTTTGTCTCTGGGCAGCTTTGTGGGGCAGGAGAACACTGGAGGAGGTAACCGGCTAAGAGTCTATTTCCTAGAATAGTTGAGAAGGAAAGTCCTGGTCTCCTCACACTGCTCCCTTTTCCCTTCTCCAAACTCTCTTGATTCAACTTTACACATAACTGGAAATTTGTTTGGCGTTTTAAAAATAGGACAGGCCATTGAAGCCAGAATGCTTCTCAAGGAGCTACTTATGTCGTGATTTGATCCCAAATCTCTTTAATCCTCTTGAGAATTAAAACAGAAAAGAAAGGGCCGGCCGAGTGGCGCGATGGTTAAGAACTGGCTTGGGACGCCAGAGGGCCCCGGTTCGGATCCCATATATGAGGGCCAGTGACACTGCCCTCCACAGCTAAGATGCTGAACAACAGCTCAGCCTGGAGCTGGGCTGCCGTGAGTTGCTGGTGACAGCGTAGGCTGCAGCCCCTGTGGCA